CTCTCTCTCTCTCTCTCTCTCTTTTACACACGCATACAATGACCAGGACAGGGGTCCTTATGATTAGTACTAACACCCTGGGTGCATTTCCCACTGTTATTTCCCTTGTTTAGCTTTCATTCTTTTCTCCAAAACTTACAGAGTTTGGTTTTGCTCTTTATTTAAAATCCGGCGCTGTTTCTTTTGTGTGTTTGTGTCTTGTACGTTTCGTTTGTTTGTTTTTTGTTGTTTGTTGTTTTGTTGTTATTTAAGGGTAAGGGGTGCTTTTCACATTTCAATACTTATTTTTGCCTTTCCATAATAATATGTCTGTTTACAGTAGCTGCGGCTTGAAATGTTGTACTGCATTTGCATAGTCGCACATGCCGCGATCCATCTGTCAAAGTTTGGAGTTTTATTTAATTTCGGCTTTTTTGTTGACTAATGCGTTTTGGCATCTTTTTGTTCTCTGTTTTCTAGCTTCAAATCTTGTCACTCTATATTTCGATTTGTTTCTTTTTATATGCTTGTTGTAATATACTATAGTTTTATTTTAATGTATGATCACTTCTTTTTTCTATCAGTGTTTTTGCCACAGCCAAGAAAAGCGGTTATTTTTATTGCTATAATATTTGCTTCGTTACCTATGCAAATGTACACTGTATTTACTTATTTGCTTTGATGTTATCTTGACAACGTGTTGCATGGAAGCTGTCATATTTTAATGCGAAATAATGAGAAGGAGAGCTTTTTCTTTTGCTTCCTTGTGTCCATTGTTCTTTTTCCTTAGGCTTTTATTTGTTATACGTCAGCATAGAATTATTGCTTACGTTTATACACACACAGTATTACTTTTCCACATTCTTCAACAATACAAATGCTTACATTGTTTTTATATACCACCACCATCATCATCATTATCACCACCACCATCATCATCATCATCGTCGTCGTCATCATCATCATCATCATCATCATCATCATCATCATCATCATCATCATCATCATCATCATCTTCATCATCATCATCATCATCATCGTCATCATCATCATCATCATCATCATCATCATCATTGTCATCATCGTCATCATCGTCATCATCTTCATCATCATCATCATCATCATCATCATCATCATCATTGTCATCATCATCATCATCATCATCATCATCACTTCAAGTGTTAGTCCTCCTACGCTTACATATTATTATAGGGAAACACGTTATGAAGTTGTAGAGAACTGAGACCAATTAGCCTGTTCCGAAAACTTTCGCTTTTCGAACGAAACATTTTTCCATACGGTGTTGGAAAAAAAACCACACGCCCATTCTGTTTCAAGTCGCACGGTGCTGAAACACTTGGGTAAAAGTCTACTTGAGGCCTCCAACTGTTACTTACTTGTCCTTCTACATACACCCGGGCTCTCCACCCTCCGTGATGCCTCCACGTGTGGGTCGATGTGGCATCATGCGTCCTCCTTTCTTTTTTTGGGTTTTTTTTTTGTATGTTTGTTACTCTCTTGTAATACCTCCAATTTTTCGGCACTTATAATATGATCTCTTTGTGTTGCAAGTGCCGTAACATGCTTTCTTATTTTTTCCTGCACTAAATGACTGTTACTATGTCGGTGTGCTTCTCTTTACTCGATCAGGTGTTATTTTGTTATAAAAAAGGTTGGGGGGAGGCGGGGGGGCTTTTGTAGACTTTCACCAAAATGTGTGTTGGTGCTGCTTTTCACATACTTTGGAATCAAGTCTGACTTGCATTGCTTTTACTAGTAGCTTCACCCAGTATGTACCTCTTTCCTGTATGAGGGAGGTACCACAAGGAAAACATAAGCTACTGTGTTGATTTACATGTCTCGTAAAAATATTTATGAATCTATTTACATAGCATGTATTTGTCTTGAAAAGAGAAAAAACAACATTTATTGACTGATTTTTATTTTAAAAAAAATTTTTTTTGAAGGGGGGGGGGGGGTGGTTGTTTTACCTCGGACTGCTTTCAGTAATACAGGCGAACTGCTTCGTCTTACATGTTGATTTCTTGGTTTCACCTTTATTTTTTGTTAGGAATACTATGCGTTTAAGTGTAGTATCATATTAAGTGTGTTAACAGTCATGATCATAGTATTCGGTGTGATTATTAAATTTGTGTATCGGCACAATCGACACGATTTAATGACAGTCTATGCGAACAGAAAAGACACCCATCTGAGACATTGCCTTACCAGCTCTTACAATAAGGGCCATTTCCACAATGCGTGCTGGCCATTTGAAATAAAGGTTCAGATCCTTAAAGGGAAGGGGGGGGGGGAACTAACGTCGGCCAGCTGTTCAGACGTACTGACCCCTATGTTCAGATTTTTTCTATTTTAGTGATATTGATTGGGTTTGGATTTGAGGAAAGAAAAATCATTGATACAATAACTGTCATATTGTACAGGGAAAAAGCAAGACAGATTGATTGAAACATCAGAGGGAAAGAAAAGTAGGACACGTTGCATAAAAATAATATACTCGTGAAATATTTGGTCGGAATTCAAATGGATTCTACAGGTTAAAAAAAAAAGGAAAACAATTATATTTTTTTTTCAAAGGTGCTGATGTGATCATAATATTGGTTCATACCTATCGTTTTTATTTTTGCTGACTGTCACGTCGTTAGTCGTGATATAATGCAAGCACTAACCTGATATTTTTTTGTTTTGTTTTCCTGCTGCTGTCTGACAGGGCTCCACTCACAACCCGAGAATTGACAAGCCCGGAGATTTCAGCCAATAGTGAGTACTTTTCCTTTCTTTATGTGTAAAAGTTACACTTTTTATTTTTTTTACAATACCTCTTTTTTTTGGGAGAAGTCAGAGAAGCGCCATGATTTGGTTGTTTCTGTGCTGTTTCAGCGTTATATTGTTGGTTGTTGGCGGGTGCTCTGGTGTGGTTGCTCCTTCTTTCCTATCAAACATCTATCGTCCTTATCCCCC